CAATTCAACTTATTATTTGTAATTGCTGAATTACTTGGTAGTCAAAATTACAGTTATCTGGAATTAAAATACAATTCAGCTTCAGAGTTATAATTGCTGAATTACGTAATAATATAATATTACTACAATTTTGAAGTCACAGACATTTAAATATATATGTACAAATATATATATATATTTCTAATATATAATATTATGTTAGTGTAATTTTGGCAATGGATACAAATACATATATACATTTTTTTAATCATAAATGTGAATTATAATTAAAACTATATATTTGATGGAATGTAGAAAATTACAAAATATAATTTTAGTATATAAAAGCATCTGCTAATAAAGCATTTAAAATTTAAATAATAAATTAAAAATAAAATAAATAAATAAATTATTAAAAAAAAAATAAAATTAAAAAGAAAATAATAACTTAAAAAAAATGTATTATGTATCAAAAAGTTCCTTAATGAAAAAAAAAAAAATACAAAAAAAAAATTAAAACATTTTGTTTTTTTTAATAAAATATTTAAAACGCTATAGAATTTTTTTTTTATTTCAATTTTCTCGAAATATGAAATATATATTTAATTTTAATAAAAATTAAATCGACACCCTATATAATAATTCATATTTTTTAGTAATAAAATATAATATAAAAAAAAACAAATTATAAAAAAATTAACAAAAAAAAATGCAAACAAATTGAAATTAAAACATTTCAACTTTAACATAAAACATAAAGACAATCAGTCCAAATAAACAAATTCACAATATTTGAAAACAAAAAAAAAAAAAACAAAATTACACTTTAATCTTAAATGTTAAATATTTAGTGTTAATTATAAAACAAAAAATATAAAAGAAATAATAAGTTTCTCTTGTCTTATAATTATAAAAATGTTTTATACTTTAAAGTAAATTTATGATTTTTTTTTCCATGTTCTCTTTCTTACATGTAGCCAATTAATTATGGGAACATATTATATAAATTATTCGATAATATATTATCAAAAAATTTTAATTAATTATTTTAATTATTTACTGATAAAACCATATTACTATCTTTGTGTAACCCAACATAATAGAGATTTTCATAAACGCAATACTGGAAAACAAAATCTGATATAATATATTTTTCAAAGCAATATATTTTTAACAATTCTATAAAATTGTTAAAGTTCAGCAATGTTTATGAATAAAGTAGATTAGCAACATTTGTGTTTTTCACATTAGATTAGTAACACAAATATAGTGAAGCTTTTATTATAATATATCACGATATATTGCGTTTATGAAAAAACCTAACATTTTTTTCTAATAAATGTTCCCTGAAAATTCAAAATCCAATAAAACAACTCTCTATTTCTATAAACATGTAATTCAACAGTTGTCATATTATGTATATAACATAATATAAGCTGAATTTTGTAATAATAATCAGTCATTAACTGTATTTTGGATGTCTGTCAAAATGATTGAGTAATTTTGACATTTTTTTATGAAATGTCACTAATGTTTTTCGCAAAATACAGATATGACGTTTGATTGGATTAAAGAATAAACAAATTCAAAATTATATATTAATTTATTTTATTTAAATATATTAAAAGTATATTGCTTATAAAATCGGTTATATTCACCGATTAATATACATATTACCTGTATAATGTCAAAATACGCCCTATTATATGCAATATAAGATTAATAATAAAAATATCGTTTTTTTTTTTACAATCAGCAAATTAAATGTTACAACGATGTTTTTTAACCAAATTTTTGTATACAATTAAAAAATTGATCAGTAAACCACGAAAAAAAAACAAATACATAAAAAAATTCGAAAAATCATACCAAATATTAAATTGATTCGATCATTTAGCTTTTGTTTTATTATTTTTTTTTATTTCAAATACATTTATTTTCTTATATATATGTACTCATATTCTGTATTTATATAATATAATCGGTATAAAATTTAAATGAATAAAATCTTAATAAATTTTAACATAAAAAAAAATAAAAGTCCCACTGATTAATAGAAAACAAAAAAAAATTAATTATATTTCTAATGTAATACACATGTCTTTAAAAAAAATAATTAAAATATAACTATAAAGAATTTAAATTAAAAGCTAAAAAGATCGAAAAAAATAAAATAAATAATTAAATGATTAGAAAAATTAAAATAATTCTAATATTTATATTTTTTAAAAAACATGCTTTCACATTAATTTTATTAATATTTTTTCATTCTCGTTTTCAATTTAAAAAATTAAATAAAAATATTATAAAAGAAATTAATACCGCAATTTTAAATTGTTATATATCCTTATAAAATATATAAAATATAAATGTATGCAATAATATAGAATTAAATTCTAAAACAAAAAGAAAAAAAAAAATGAAAATAATAACAAAATACATATAACAAAACACAAATGTATAACAGACTTAAATTAATATTAAATTATATAACACAAAAATTTTTTTAATTGTGTGTAAACTAATTGAAATACTAAAAAAGATTTGTATAAACAAAAAAGTAAATTAAAAATAAAGTTAATCAAAATGTCATTTTAGAGCATTACACATATATGTACATATTTTATTATTTATATAATTATATTAATTTTTTTGGCTATAAATTTAGTCTTATAATAAATTTAGTCTTATTCTATTCTATATTGCTAATTTTTCTATTTATATATCAATTTTTTCTAAAGATCTCACAAAATGAATATGTTTCTATTTTATCAATAGCCTAATAGAACAGAATTTCACTATACAAATACATTTATATGGAATAGTGCAGTGAGTCACTGTTAGAGAGTGCTAAAAACAATATTAATATTTACTATTCATAAAGTTGACATATAAATTTCGTTATCGTCTTACGTAAAAATTTTTTTGAACCCTTAGTTATATATTTAAAGTTTTTGGTTTATCCATTTTTTAATTTCACGTCAATAAAGAAAAAAACCTGTTATATGTAAAATAATAGTCCTCTTTATTAATGTTATGTATTTTCATGACCAAATATTGCAAATTCAGATTAATTATTATTTAATTTTATTGAATTTTTGCTTTAAATATTAGTTAACCAAAATATTATGTTAACGTAATTCGACTTTTTCTGTACAAATTTATTATATTATCAAATTATAAAAATTATTAAAATAATGAATTATTTTTTGACATTTATGTCAACTTTTTACTAAAAATTAAAGCAGTAAAGTAACAGCAATTAAAAATATAGCAATGTTTTTTTTTTTTGTAAACGAAAGGTCAAGGAAAGGTTTTTCTTTAGTATACACAAAATTCATAATATTTTTAAATTAAATTAGAAAAAAAAAATTGTCAAAATTAATTAGAAAAAAGTTAATAGAATTTCTATACTAATGTTATAGCCATTTTGGTTTATTCAAACGGAAACAAATATGAAACAAGTGAAAAAACTAAAACGTTAACGTAAGTGTAATCGTTAACATAACTTTATACCGTAAGTGAGAATTCTTTAGAAAATATACATATAAATAGTTGATGAATTTAATTAACATTAAATTTGAATTTTTTAATATGTATTATGTAATGTATCATAAAATATTTGCAATACAGAAAAATATATTATGAATATGGAATAGTCAAAAATTATGTCAAAAATGAAAAAAAATTTTGATAACCTATAAAATATCAAATATTTTGATATGTAATTGAATTTAACGTTATATGACGACAAAAAAAAAGCGACATACTGAAATCATGTACATACATATACAATTCTATTGTTGTAAAACTTATTTTGCTGTGTAAAAATCTTTGTTTTATAATATTATGTAAGAAATGTGTATTTTTATTAAAACTATTTTTTAAAAAATTTGCTATTTCGCAAAATAAATATAATATTTTTATTTATTCATACACATATAAATTTATTAAAATAAATATTTAAGTAAAATTATACGAAAGATTAACAAAATAATATAAAAGGAGAAAATCCAAAAAAAAAATATCTAAAATGAAAATTTTAACATGTTGCACATGTATCATTAAAATAAAAAAAAAAATTTTTTTTTAATAATATTAATTATATTAATTAATCACGATTATTGAATATTGTATTTGGTGGAAGAAAAAAGAAATGTATATTACAAATAAAATATACGTTCAATATAAAAATATAAATATGAAATTTTATTTTCTTAACATTAATTTTATTTAAAGCTGCGTGGAAACTTTTTAAGAAAAATTGAAACTTTGTAAATTCTTTAATAGCAAATACAGTAATGTAGCACAATAATATTTGACACATTGAATGGGTATTAGTTCAAGGCGAAATCTTAATAGTCTTAATGATAGAGATAATCTTCTTAAGAACTGAGCTAAAAATATGTCAAATTAGCATAGTTTTTTCTGGTTTACTTACCCAGCATTTACACGTACAAGTTACTTGCAAGAAAGTTGCAATACATACAAAAATTTTACTAACACATTGAAATATTTCTACTTGCTTGTTTACTTGCAGTTCAACTTGCAAGAAAATTTTGCTGCCAGTAATTTGAGCAAGTAATTTGACATATTGAGAAATTCACAAAAAAAAATTTGTTGTTTTGATTTTTTTTTTTTTTTAATTTAAAATTTTTGAATTTTGTTTTGAAAAAATTAAACTTAGCAAACTTATGGTTTCTAAAATTTATGAACAATTATATATTGCTAGTTGTTTTCTTCTCAAAGACATTTTCAAAAATTAACTTGCTAAACGCCTACGTCATAATAGCAAGTAATTTGACATTTCGAAAAACTAATTGACAATTAATATTATACAAACTTGCATGCAAGTAACTTGTATGTGTAAATGCTGGGTTAGATATAAAAATTTTGGCTTATGCATAGTTGGTTGAACAATAAACATTTAGTTAATTGCCCAATAAACGTACTTTAGTAGATACATCTGCAACGCTATCTTAAGTTTTCCATCGCTTCGTTGCTACCTTTCGATGCTACAGCAAGTATAAATAAAAAAATTGGCAGTTATAATATTCAAAACAATTCAGAGGAATTATAAAAATTTAATAAGATTCTATAATTGGTAATAAGGTATGTGTATAATTTTTTTTATGAAAAATTTGTTTATAACTAATTTAAAATATATTTGGGATTTAAATAATAGTATCATACATTATTGAAGCCAATAAAATATTTTGGATTTTAACAAAGAAAGCGTCCAAAAATTTGAAAGGGATAAAACAAAATGAGTTCCAAGGACATTTACTATTCGGATAAATATTATGATGATTATTATGAATACCGACATGTTGTATTACCTAAAGAACTCTTAAGATTAGTACCAAGATCACATCTTATGAGTGAAGATGAATGGCGTGGTATTGGTGTCCAACAATCTAGAGGATGGGTGCATTATATGATTCATACACCAGAGCCTCATATTTTACTATTTCGACGTGAACTTAAGAAATAGAATTACCGCTTTTTTTTACATTTTTTTTTATTTGTTAAGCAGTTTTAATGTTTATGTAATTTAGAAAAAAACTTGGTAACTAATAATAATTAAGAAATAAGTACCATAGGAATTCAAATGAAAATTATCAGTTTATATGTAAAATCTAAATTTAATTTAATGCATGCTGTAAGATTAATGCGCTATATTACAAAATTAAACCTTAGTTATAATTGTGATTAATTTTTTATTACAAACATTTTTGAAATAAAACATTTCTAAAATAGTAATTTTTGTAAAATTTCCAATTGGGTGCCTTTAATTTTTTCAATAACTTCTTTTTTTGTCTGCCATTCAAACGTTTTTGATTTCTCCATCTCAATATTACCCTTTTGCAAGCTTGTCCGATATAAAAACACTTTAGCGCCAATTGACTCCTTTTTTAAAGAAGATGGATATTTGTATTTGTAAAATGCACAAGGAGCATTGCCGTAAAATGTTACTTTGGTATTTGTTCCGCATGCTTCTTTTAGAACACGTTCAGCCGCTTGTCGCATATTTTCATTTTCTATTCTTTTTCCTTCGGGAATAGTATAAATTTTCTTATCTCCTACAACTTGTTTAGTTAATAAATACAGAGTTTCATCCAAAGCTCTGTTAATAGATTTTAATTGCTTTATATCTGCTTCAGTTTTTCTAGAAGCCAACTTAAAATTTTTAAACTCTTCTGAATATGCATCTTTCAAGTCTTGAGCTGTTTGTTTCGATGCACTTTCGTCCAAATCGATTTCCACTTCTCCTTTTTTTATTAATTCAGCCTGAAGCAAATCTCGTTCATGTTTCAATTCATGATTTGATTTTAGACTGCCTAAAATTAAAGTACATATATATGGTTGTAAATATAGTACATTATACAAAATTAAACCTTCAAACTCTTTTTGCCAGAGTAAAGCTTGGAATTCTTCTTCAATTGCATTAAGACTTTTAGATATGATAGGCAACCGCTCTACTAAAACTCCAGCGTATAAGTCCCATTTTAAGTTTTTTGCATCTTTTTGGCCCGTGTTGTCGGCAAAACCTCTACAAAGTTTAACATTTAATATATATCTACTTAAACGGACTGGATTAAACATTTTTAATTCTTTTGCTCCTTTGATATACTGCAAGACAAAATATAACCACACTTCGACAGCTGATTTATTTTGGCTTTCAATTTGCTACAAAAAGTATAAAACGAATTGGTGATAACTCGAAATATACAGTTTTGAAAACATCAATAAATTATTATTTAGGATCTTAAAAATGTGTACTATTTCCTAAACAAGGTAACCAAAATTAAGGCATTTTGAGAAATCTTAAAAATGGAAAAGAAAGTTTTTCAGAAAAGCTATACATAATGGAGACGCTATGAAATTTTTAAATTTGTTGAAAAGTAAAATAAAAAAACCGGGTTGTCTTTGACTATTATTGGGTTTTTATAAATAATTTGCGTAACAAAATAAAATATAAGTTTAAAATGAAATAAAATATAATGTTTTAAATATTTATGTACAAATATATGCGTAAGTTTACAATTTTTAGTTAATGGAACCTTGAATTTCCGCAAAAACTTCAGACCATGAAAATCCTAATTTTTCGTCTTCAAGAATAAATTTACATCTGTTAGGGATTTTATTCAAAAGATTATTAAATGACGTAAACTCCATTAAAGAACTTTGATCCCCTACAATAATTAACTTTTGTTTCGCTCTGGTAATGGCTACTGTTAATCTGCGACAGTCTTCTAACACTTCATTACTATTATTAATCTTAGTTTTATTTACTTCCCCAGTTTTTGTACAGGAATAAATAATAATTTCTTTGTCACGTCCTTGATATTGATCAACTGTGTTAATTTCTAAACTATCAATATCATTTAATGAAACTTCACTGGTATTCTCAGAAAATTTAAAAATGCTTCTTAACAAATCAACTTGTGCTCTATAAGGTGCAATAATTCCAATATTTTGGCAACTATAGCCACCTAAAGTAAAAGCTTTCACCAATGTAAATACGATTGCAACTTCACAATAATTAATGCACCTTTGATCATTTTGTTTCTCGTTCTTGTTTCCATCAAAATCGTTAGACAAAATAATTTGCTTTTTATGCGATAAATTTTTCGAAAACTGTGACGATAGCTCTTGGCAGTTTTTGGTATCAAGAAATATAACCGACTGATCAATATGCTTTTCTAAAGCTTTTAAAATCCATTTTTGTTTCCCATATTTATCTAGTAACATAGATTCTTTAGAAAATTTCAAATTAGCTTTCATTGTAGAATCATTTCCACACTGTAATTTATCGCCATACGTAAAATTATTAGCAAGTTTTGTTATGACTCTGTTCATTCTATACTGTAAGGTCAAAACTATAGTAGCGTTTGATGAATCTAAGCGATGGAAAAGACTTTCATCAGCACCCAGTTGCCGTGCTTTTTTCGACTTTATCAATGGTGGTAGTTGGTCGGGATCCCCAACCAGAATAAATTTTTTGGCGTTAAGAAGAGCTCTTATAGCTGTTGGTTGATATACTTGGGTGGCCTCATCTACTATGCAAACATCGAATTCTGCTCCATTTGTAAAGAGCGCATGATTAGAACCAAGGCATGTTACTCCAACGACTGAAAAGGATTTATACATTTTTTCGACTTCCTCTAGATTTTTACAATTTTTGATTAGAGCAGCTTCACAATGTTGCAGCAAACTTGTATTAACACGACTTTCACTTCCAAGTCTTAAGAACGGTATATCGTATCTTTTTAACCTTAATAACACATTGTCAACAGCAGAATGTGTGTGAGAGGTGATTATAACAGACTTTTTCAGAAGAAATAATAAACGTATTATGGCCACTAAAGTTTGAGTTTTTCCAGTTCCAGGAAGTCCTTTTATTAAAATGTAACTATCGGTACTTAATGCTTTTAATACAGCAGATTGTTGTACATTGTTCAATTCTTCCAAAATAGGTTTTCCTTCACGAACTAAAATTGCTGGTAATTTTTTACCAAACGTAGGTTTCCTCTTATCAATTACTATATTTCTGAAAAAAGAAATGTGTTCCTTATCTGCAAGAAGTAAACCTAAAATTTCAAAATTTAGTATTAATAATAAAAAATAAAATTGATAGGTACTATAAATAAGAATCTTACTTATACTTGTAAAATTGAACAAATAATTGGATTTCGATTCATATTTGTCGATAATAAAGCTTTCTTCAGCGTAGTTTTTAGAAAGATTTCTGTCCAGTGCTATAGTAATTGATGTTGGAGATAAATCGCAAATATTTCCAGCTGCTATGGATACGCGTTTTCTTGTACTTATTATGACGTACTCGCCAATAGAGAAACCAGTGGCCACAAAATCGTATTCAATTTTAGATTTTCCGCTTTCGGGCGATTCCAAAATAAATGAATGAATATACTCTTTCGATTCAAATGATTCGAACACATTGCACAACTGAATATTTATAATAGCTCGCTGATGTTTCATTCTTTCTTCTGGAGTATACAACCAAAAAGCGTTCAATTTATTTGACCTATTATCTTCATCTTGTTCCAAACTAATTATTTCATACCAAAGCATAAAATAATCGACGTGAGACGATGTTAAATGTGCTGTAACTGAAGAACAAACTTTTTTTATTGGATGATCGTCCGGAAAATTACTAGTCTCATCGGCTTTTAAAAATGTTGTACATATAGTTGAATATGGACACTTGTTACATGCGTTAAAATTACTTATTGGTTCGGGTAGTGATACAATTGGATACTTAGAGTTCAAAGAACAGGGTTGTAGTTTGTTATTTAAATAATAACTTATTTCATTCCTTAAAATTATTAAATCTCTTTGTTCATTTCGGTTTGGCAATATTTCCTTCATGATTCCATCTCGCAAATATAATAAAAGGCCAGAATCTGTTTGAAAACCCAATTCCTGAAGCATAATTTGATATAAAACTATTTGCCCTCTGTGTTCTAAAGAAAAAGATGAACGTCCTGTTTTTAATTCCAAGGGCAATACTACATTTTTATCTTGTTTTAAAACTGACTCTTTCTTGCGACGATGGATTTTTACTGAAACATCTATTTTTCCTTTTAATCCAAAATTTGGAATAACAACATTTTCTTCAATGTCTTTAATTTCGGAAATGGTGTCTGGAAATTCATCTCTATTTGTCTTATACAGAAAAAAAAATTATTATTGGGTGAAAAGAACAAAAATTTCATGTTGCATACTTTCATATTTTCTCCTAGTACATATTTTTTTACAAAACTTAAAATATTTGGTATAAAGTCCATTATTTCATTCTCTGTTTCAATCGGATCCATTTTACATGAAAACATTGCCGGAAATAAATTTTTTGAATTAAGAATTTGTTTCACTAGCTGTACTATGTGTTCCCGGGATAAAATTTTCTTTTGCAGAACAGTTTCAAACAGCTCGTGAACTATAATTCCTATTACCATCTTAAAAATAAATAATTTACTATTTAAGATTGTAGTAGATTTATATATTATTTACCATCTTGTTACCAGTATCAATACGAAATTTTTCTTGTAAAACTGCTTTTCTTTGACAAAAAAGAGAACCTACGACAGTTGTACAAGAAATTAAATTATCTGGATTTGTTACAAAGTAACCTTCTGCATCATTTACCACATAACACTTGTCACTACTACTCCATACTGGAAGAACTGATATTATTCCATCTAGACTAAGCTTCGTTTGGGACCATTGTTCTTTTAGACGACATGTAATTCGTGTCGTGGTCTCCTCGTTATAAAGTACTACCTTCAAGTCATAGTTTCTGGAATCTGTTTCATAACTTTCTATTTTAAATCTGTACCATTGATTTGTATGAAGTTTAACTTCCACATTCTGATAGTTTGACTGTAAATTCTCGTCATTGATTTTTGTAGTAATTTCATCCAAATATGAATCATTAAATAAACTATCAAAATATTTATCATCATCTGTAAGCTTGAAATCTGAATTCAATTTCACTTTTTTCTTATCATTCTTTTCATATTTTTCTGGTGAATTCTCCTCAGAAATCCTATGCTTTTTAGTTTTTTCCATTAGATCCCAAAAATTTTTAAGTACTTTTAATTTAACATGAATTGAAATACGAATCATATAAAGTTCAAATAAACTCAAATTGGCGCAAAATCATAAACGTAAATATTTCACAAGGTTTTCAAAGAAAACTACAACTACGCTACATTTTACAATGTAGTTTCACATATTTGTTTTGTTTATCTCAATAATTGTTTATTTTATTTACATATTTTTATCTCTTTAATTTTTTGACTTTTGAAAACAGGTGACAGCAAATTTATCAGCACTTAAAGTTAAAAGGCTACAATAAAGAAATAAAAAAATTAGCAAACATTAAATAATAGGTGCCGTCGTGACACCGAAAAAAATTTTAATTAGGCTATATGAGTACGTACAAAATACATAATAAAATTTGTTTTGTGAGCCTTTATACTTGCATAAAATATTATTATTTAAATTTTTAACAACTTGCAATTTAAAAATATAAAAAATGTTAACATTAAAATAATTCTAAAAAATATTTAATTAAAATGTAAAAATATTTTAAATTATTTTAAAATTGGGAAAAAAATATTGTATTTTCTGAAAAATTTGTTTACAATTGTATTGACATGTTGACAAAATAATTGTGTAAGTACCATTCATATCTTTTTCATATATTATATACTTCCAATTCAATATCAACAATGATTGCTGTTTTGACATTGTTTCACTCAAAAACAACAAAAAACTACGTAAAGTAATTATTTGGTCGTAATTACCGTATGAATGTTAACAAGCTAGCGAGGCAAAAAAATCGATTCAAATCGATATGTTTGGTTCTTAGGGTTGCTTTTGACTTTGAATGTCACGAAAGAAATGTCACTGTCAAATATAAAATAATTTTTTTTGCTACTTCTGCTGGCGTGTTAGCTTCGAAATAAGTAATAAGAAAAATCATTTTTTAATTAAAAATTATAAAAATGTATTCCAATGATGATTATGAACAAGTAAGTAAAATATGAGTCAAATTAAACTAACATTTATTATTAATTTTCTACGGAATATTTCATTTTAAAATTTGCATATATGTATATGTACTTATTTTTAGGGTTATTATGACGATTATTCAAATACAATGGATTCAGGTATGGACAGCTATGAGCGAAGTTACACAAAAATGCCTGAGAATGTAAAACATTTTCTTTTGAATTTTCGGGCTGCTATAAATGATGGGGCTATCCTTGACATTCAAAATATGTACGAAAACACATTTCCTCAGTTAAGTGACCATTACTTTGACAAATGTTCTTGGCCTGATGAAAAGGAGGTTATGCAGTTAGTCGAAGGAGATAAATTATTTATGATATTTTATAAAGAGTTATACTATCGTCATATACATGCCAGAATTCCTGGAGGACCAACATTGTCCCAAAGAGTTACATCGTTTTTTAACTATTGCGATTTTTTCAATTTAATTTTATCAGCTTCAGATCCAGTTTTGATAGAATTACCCGATATATGGTTATGGGAATTAGTTGATGAATTTGTGTATCAGTTCCAAAACTTTGCACAGTATCGGGCTCGTTCTAGAGATAATGCGAATGATAATGCAGTGCTAAACAATAGCAGTAATGTATGGAGTATTTTATGTATACTTAATGTCTTGCATTCTCTAGTAGATATTTCAAATATTAAAAAACAATTAGAAGTTGCGACGCAAGGAATTGATCCTCAGACTGTGGCTGGAAAATTCGGAAGCCATTCATTTTATAAAATGTTGGGATATTTTTCTTTGGTTGGTCTTTTACGTGTGCATTCATTGCTAGGAGACTATTATCAAGCAATAAAAGTCCTTGAACCAATTGAAATTCATAAAAAGTCACAATATTCCCATATCCCAGCATGTCAAATTTCTACATCATATTATGTGGGCTTTGCTTATATGATGATGCGTCGTTATACTGATGCTATAAGAACTTTTTCAGGAATTTTATTATACATTCAACGTACTAAACAATTGTATAGCACCCGGTCATATCAGAATGATCAAATAAATAAGCAAACCGATCAAATGTATCATCTTTTGGCTATTTGTTTGGTTTTACATCCTCAATATATTGATGAATCAATACAACAAGTATTACGTGAAAAAAATTATCATGATGCTATGTGCAAAATGCAATGTGGCGACCTTGATACATTCAAGAAATTTTTCATTTCTGCTTGCCCAAAATTTGTTAGTTTGCAATCAACATCTACGGATCCCACAGAAGATTACGGAAAAGAACAAATGGAACATCAATTACAAGTTTTTATGGACGAAGTACGTCAACAAAAAGAATTACCAATTATTCGTTCATATTTAAAATTATATACAACTTTGCCATTGGAAAAACTTGCTTCGTTTATGAGTCAAAATTCAGAACAAGTCGATGATCGCCAAATTGATAATCTTTTAATTCATTTATTATGTTTCAAGCATAAAATGAAGAATATTGTTTGGTCAAAAGGTTCAAGTGGGTTAGATGGCAAGTTTCAATCTGGCTCTGAGGTATGTAAAAATACAAATACATATTAAACATGATCACCGCTAATAAATTAAATTTACTTTTTTCTTTAGCTTGATTTTTATATTGATAACGATATGATTCATATTGCTGATACCAAAGTGGCTCACCGATATGGCGATTTCTTTATTCGCAAAATTTTAAAATTTGAGGATTTAAACCGCAGATTGCACAATATTAACATTAAATAATTCGATTATAAAATGATAATTATTTTTTAAATCCTAATAAAATTTACTATAAAGTATTTTAATGTTTTTAATTGTATGTACACACAATATTTTTAAACTTATTATTTTCTTTCTGGCAATTGAGCAGATAGAAGATTTACAAAGTTTGCAGCTTATCTAAACATTTTAGTTAAACATGTTAGTGATTCTTTGAAAATAATACTGCTATACATGTGAATGGGGGTTTTTGATATTGTTACCGTCGTTAAATTTAAAGTTCTTTACGAAAATTCGAAATAAGGAGGGTGCATGCAAATATATCATTAAAATTTAATTCTAGCCTCAGTCGCTCTGAGTTTTGTTATACGTTTTTAAAGTAATATTTTTTCTAAATATTTAATTTATATCTTTAGTAATAATATATTAGTGTATGGAATCAAGGGTAAAAAAAAATAAATTACAATGTTAGAACAGCTTTATGTATAAATTATATTTATATATTTATTTTAATATATGAATATCTTTATAATTAGATCATTTTAATTGTTTATTTACAATGATTTTTATAAATTACAAAATATGTTTTAATATAATTATATACTAATGTGGTAAAAATAAAATAAAGTTATAATTTAATTTTAATTATTTTTCCAATAATTTAGATAGAGACAAAATAACTTGATCACTGTTTTAAAGAGTTTTATTGAATTGAAATCATGAAATACGGAGAAATATTTTATAAACAAGAAATCTTTTATATAATTGTGTATTTCTCTATATCCTAAATGGGACTTAGATATTGAATATAAATTCTTTATTTTGTTCAAATAATAAATTACATATTTATTTCTCTATCTAGTTATTTTATTTACTAAGACTATATGTATGTATATAGAAAGGTAATTGAATGGAGATTTTAATTGAAAAAATGTAATTTTTCTATTATTGGTGCGAATATGCATATATGTATTTTTTTTTTTTGAAATATGAAATATTTTAAGATTCCGATTGTTGTACATCTTTAATATAATTTTATTAAGATTCTGTATTTGTAGCGAAATATGCTTAAGTATTTCTCAAAGTTTAGCACAATTTAATCATGCTAAATTTTTAATTTTCCGAATATAAGACAAATATTCTTTTCAAAAGCGTGATCCTTTTTGAAAAATCTTTATTACGGATTATTTCTAATATAAATTGCACAAAAATATAGTGTTTTTTAAGTTTGATATTGAAAAACATATCCTGAAAAATTATTGTAAATTTTTCTTAATCAAATAAATTAACATTTAAGTTTTGAATAAATTTCAAAAATAAAAAACATAATACAACTGATTTATGTATACATATATATATTAATTTTTTTTATATTATAGTATATCATTAGCTTTATATTTTTATGTGTTTATATCTATTACTTAATTGAATAAAACTGTATTAGGATCTTCATTATCCATTTGCTTTACGTGTCTAAGCACATCTTTTTTCGTTATAACTCCAAGTAAACGACTAAAAAGAAAGGTTTCATTTTCATTTTAAATTTTTTTTTTTATAATAAAGATACCAAATTTGCATTTGATTTAAAATTTTGTGAAAACGAATAATATTTTCTTTAAAAAAATTTAAAATTCTCACCCGTTATGAGTAACTAAAGTTTGACGGAGTCCTAATTTTCTAAACATATCAACAACAGTTTCCATTGGAGTTTGATCTGTTACAGTTATAGGAGCCATATCTAAGATTTTCTTTAGTTTAAGTGGAGGTGGCCCTAAATTTTGAATAGGAGAAGCTGAAGTAAATAACACTATCGATTGACCACCAATTCCATCGATTAAACGTTTATCATTTTCTTAAAATAATAAATTATTATTATTTTTCTCTATTAATTTTTAACGTTTTTAGTTACCAATTGCTAAATTCAAATCTCTTCTTAACACAAATCCAACTAGGTATTGATTTTCTCTAGAGACGACTACTGGATAACCATTATGTTCAGTCTCTTTAAGCAATGATTCAACATCATCTACTGTCATAGAATCCTGTGTTATAACAGACAAAGTCTCATTCCTCCTTAATAAAATTTAATATCGGTTATAACATATATGAATTAACAATATAATTTTATACTTTGGTTGCATGACATCGGCAGCTAACGTTGTATGAGCGAATTCATCTTTGCTGTCTAAAAACGGATATCCATTAAGACTTATATGTGCATCGTAAATACCCTGAAATTTAATTTATTCGAATAAAATTTGAATTGATTATTTTTTAAAATTTAACCTTTCTTCCCAGAGCATCTCCAACCCATTTTGATGCCATTGCAGCTGCCATTAGTGGTACAATATATCCCACGCCTCCTGTTAGCTCGAACATAATAACAACTAAAGATACTGTCATTCTTGTTACGCCCCCTAGAACTGCAGCTGCTCCCACAACAGCATAAAGGCCTGGTGTTATGACATTATTAGAGTCAGCCAGACATTCCCCAGATAAAAATATTATTCGTGGATAATTATATGTTAATTGCTCTACTGCGATACCAACAATTCTGCCCATTATTGCTCCTAAAAGTAATGATGGAATAAAAAGTCCACATGGAACTTTCATGCCAAACGTGAATACTGTAAGTGCAAATTTAATGAAGAAACTAAATATAAGTAGCCAAATTGCACGATAAACTCCAGTGCCTGGCACTTGCACTTGAATAGAAGAGTTTAAGCCATCGGTAATATTTTTTTTTGTATAATCACTAAAAAAATTTATTTTGGTGTTTAACATTACAGTAAAAACAAAATTAATAACAACGAGTTTACCATAACGGATTTGGATCCATTTCTGCACATTTGTTGAAGAGCATGTAAATTAATTCATTCATATTCATTCTTGTGAAAGGATTGGGGTAACAAATAATTGCCGTAATGAGAGTTACAACTAAAACTTCAATAACTGGATATTGACCTAATTTACTAAATTTTCTATATTTACACCACCATAAATTTGCCTTAATAAATACGGTTCCGATTACGCCCTGAAATATTAGATTAGAATAACTTTTGTCATTTAAAATAAATGTAAACTTACTCCCATAATACCAAGGAAAACAAAAGGGATAAACTCAAAGTAGTTCCAATGTATATTAGATTCAACAAAAAATAAAACCGAATGTTCATCACCAAACGGTTTTATTGATCTCAAAATGAATGCTGCAATTAAAGCACAAAAGAAAGATCTCCACAAAGTTTTTAATGGAAAGTAGTATGAAACTTCTTCTAAACTAAACAACACTCCACCAATTGGTGCACCAAAAGCTACTGATACCCCGGCAGCGGCAGCTGCAGATAAAATTTCTCTTTTTTTTGCCTCATTTCGACCATATTTCGGGAATAAATGTGAAAATATATTTCCAATGCAACTTGCTATATGTACCATTGGTCCCTCCTTTCCTAACGTCAGCCCTGCTGACACAGACAACATCAGACCAACAGATTTTATTAATAACGTCCACTTTCCCAAATAACCACGAATAATAAAACCAGATAGAATGGTTTTTATCTCTGGAATACCTGAACCACATGCATAAGGTGCAAATTGTCGTACTAGAGACGCACTGAGTGAAGCAAATAAAAGTGCCCAAACAATATATAAAAAATATGCCAAAATATATGGGCCAACTCCGTCTTTTGCAGATCCAAATATTTCGGGCCAAGTTTTCCACTGAAAATAAAATAAGTGACATCATCGAAAAGAATTTTAAAATTATTTTAATATTGACTTACGCTGGTGCAATTGGCGTCGGAAAAAACACTAGGTTTTTTTGTCCAACAACATTGTTCTCTATTAAACCAAAAAGCTTGAGGACAAATTCCATGTTTTAAATCTGACATCCAACTCGCACCGATATCAATTATACCGGCCGCCATACCTGATACTAAACCTACTAATAAAACGCATAACCATCCTGACCATGCATCATGTGCTCCCTAAAAGTTAGAAATAGTAATATGAACATGAATTAAACAATTTAATTTAATTAATCTTACTCGAATTAAATCCCATAACGAATCTTGTCTCTTTTTAACTATATATCTATGTCGCATTCGATCTCTCGCAATATCACGCTGCCAGTCTATTGTGTGAAAATCGTCGTATTGACCAATACCTGGTATATCTTCTGTAGGCTCATGCGATCCATAAAATGAAATCGAGCCTAAAACAATTTATATTTATGTTCAGTAAAATTAAAAAGAAAATAAATAAATAAATTTACGAACTTTCCATATCATTGAATTCTCTGCCAAATGCACTATGAGTTGGTTGTGGTGGCCTTTCCATATTTTCTGATTGTGAAGTGTCTCTTCCTGCGGAATAATTTGGGTTAGAAATACCTCCTAATGGTGACGTTCGAAGTGGATCGTTTGGACTTGTTCGAGGTGTTATGTCAATCATTTCTTCATCATCTTTATTAGTTAAAGCTGTTGTAGTTGTAAGGGGAGGATGATGACCATTAGTCTATTTTCAATACAACATAAAATCAAAAACTTATTATGTCACAGCTTATACTACTAACAAATTTTATTATAACATATTTTAAAGAATTTTAGATATTGATATTGTGAAACCTTGCGTGCACCATACATTAAATTATTGAAATATTTTTTAATAGAAAAGCAATTACATATTCTAATTGTATACAATATTGTTAGATGAATGGCTGATATTAGAAAAATAGCTTTTTCAAAGTGATATATAAAGTACTGCAAAGTACTAAGTTTCGAATTTAAGTTAGATACAACTTTTACCTAGTACCTAATAAATTATAGAAAAAAAATTTTAATTCAGCACTTATACATATTAGATTTTCTTAATTAAAAATATTTTCAAGCATTAACCATTTACACTTTAAAAATTCTTTCGTCCGAAAGTGATAATTTTTCTTACTAATTTCTTCCTGTGCTAATTTGACAAACTTCAGTAATCAGTAATATAGGTACATACATATCTCTAGCTATTTTACTTTACCTTTTTAAAAACGGATTGATAAGCTTGACCATATACACTTCCACCACTTTTCAATGGAAACTTCTCCATAATTTGTTATAAACCATCTGAATAGTCAATAGTTTTTATGAGAACACAAATTAGAAAAGAACTTGTTATACATATATAAAATTTGTGGGAGGAAAGCAGGCTTATCAAATTTTATTTTATTCAGGAAAATTATAATACAATATTTAAATTATATGCAGTTTAATGCGTTTAAAAATTATGAAAAATTAAAACAAAAGCAGATGATTTTAAGTTTTAGCAAATTTGTAACAAAAAATAAAATGTAAATGACGTGTTTGCAATTTTTCATATAATTATAATTTTTTTTAACAAATCAAAAAACATATTTTTTACTTTATGCTTGGAGTATTAAGAGTTCAAATTGTTTTAAAAAAGAAAATAACTTAAATACACTTTATTAAAACTGAGCTTTGTTACAAAATTTATAAAATTATTGTTATAAAAATAACTTCAAGCAGACATGACTCAAAAAATTTTGATAAATTGTCACTGTAGTCGTTGTCACGACAGAACTGCCATTTTCCATAAAATTTACATAAAAGAGCGACAGTAGAGCAACAAAATATTGCACTTTATAAATTTTCATTGAAATTTCAAATGTTCACACAAATTAAACTAACCAATGATCTGTTATTGTAATTAAATTAAATGAGCTTCTAATGTTCACAATCGGTGTAATAGAGTGCGTTTATATAATGTTATGTTTTTGTGGTGGTACATAAATGTCACGACGAAACTGAGTTGTTTTTTAATATTTGACGAAACAATAAATAATAAGCATCATAGAGAATTTTAAAATAACGGATGAAAATTTTACAGTGCTATTTTATGACAACATCAAAGTGTATATTAAAATTAATAAGACTTGTCAAAAATTAAAGAAAAAATTTTTGATGAATAAAAATCACTAATCTTACAAATATTTAACAAATTAAATATCTTAGATTAGAAATCTAATACGGTCTCGTGAAGAGACCTGCAATAAGGAATATTGTAGAAGCTGGTAAAAACTTCTAGCAACCGTTATTGTGAATCGCCAAGACGTATATAAGGATACTATCAATATGTTGTTTGACGTTCAGCTCAAATATTATGTTGAAACACGTTATTAAAATAATTTTAATTACAATTTGAGAAAATAGTATAAATTCTAAATATTTTTTAGAAAAATTGTAAAATTTTTTAATAAATTGTCAAAAAGTAAGATTTATGTAAAAATATTTATATGTTTATTTATATTATGTACCTTGATTACAATAATGTCAAATTAGGGTCTGGTTAATATTGTAAAAGTAGCACTGATATAAACGCAACTCATTCTCCTTTTACTATAAAATGTTTTTTTTTTTGTTGTTTTCGTAGCATGAGATATTTTTATTTCAAATCAGACAGCAGTCAAAATAGTAAATGACATATTTTACCTCATAATATTATTTCAAAGATTTTATATAATTTTAATGTCAATAAATTTAAAAATAATAGTAAATACATAGTCACATATATAGATAATATATATAAACAATAAATATAGTAATAGTATATAAATACTCACTAGGATTTCATTTAAAAGATTACATATACATTATATATTCCTGAAATATGGTTAAAATAAAACAAAGTGTGTGCCTAATACTTTCATCATTAGTTTTTGTGTACACTTTTTATGTTGTTGGGAAATTAATGCTATTTTTGTCAAATCCCGGAGCTACTTCAATAAAGTATACATGGATTCTGAATATCCTAGATAATCAATCGCGTTTGGAAACAGCCTTTGTGGCATTAGTTTTTGATGCATTATATGTAATTTTGTTCATACTTCAACATAGCTTAATGAAATCAAATTTAATCATAGCTATTTTTGAGAAAACTGGACTTGGATTAATAGAGAGAAGTGTTTACTGTCTGACATCATCGTTATGTTTATATGTATGTAATTAATTTCAAAAGCAGGTTCCAAAAAATTTTAATTCAATTATTGTTTCTAGTATTTAATTGAAAACTGGCTTTCTGCTCCGACCATTGTTTTGTGGCAAATAAATGTAGCAGACAATCCTTCCCTGTGGTGGATGTTTGTTCTTGTTCACGTTTTCGCATGGATTGTTATTTATGGAGGAAGTTTAATTATGGATCTGCCAGAAATTATGGGGCTTAAACACGTAAGTCGATTGTTGTAATTTAACTTTATTTTAAAGGATTATTTTTTTATATGTGCAGGTGTACTACGATATTAAAGACTATGCTCCTCCAATGGCTTATAAATCTTTTGAGTTGAGACACTTGTATGGTAAGTTTTTTTAAACATACCTATTTAACTTATTTCAAAAATTTTGATATGAGTTAAGACATAGATATATTTTAGATTTGTTTAATTTTAGGACATATCAGACATCCGTCTTTTATTGGATTTTTAATTGTGCTTTGGTTTACAAATTTAATGACGGTGGATCGTCTTCTTTTGTCAATAATGCTCAGTTTATATATGTATGTTGCATGGTCTACCGATCATAATGATGTAATTTATCAAAAATGTCAGCTGCAGCGAAAAAGAGAAGAATTAAAGAGCCACTGATTGATCGAATAAAAATTTAACTACGTGCAACTTTTTATAGTTATTTTTTTAAGTTCTTAGTTTGCGACGCTATGAAAGTCGAAAAGAATTTATTGTTGAAACATCTGGAAATAGTAAAAGAAACATCTGGAATTTGAATTAATAACAATCATATTAACTCGTTTGATGTAAGCAGATTAACAAAATTGTTATATTATTTTGTGAAGAGTAGATGGATATAATTTTTTGTACAAAGTTTTAAAATTAATAGTTTTTACATATGTAATTTTGTTTCACACCTCATTGAAATAAGACCTTGTATTTTATGAAAATTCAATGTAAATAATGAATCTTATTAACTTTTACTTTTTTTTTTGCTGATGATCATTAACATTTAAAAAAAATTTGAGAAATGAAATTTTAACTTAAAATAAATCGCAATTTAAAATTCTTTTAGAATAGATAACTTTCATTTTTGGAAACGGAATATGATTTAATAACTTTAATGTGCATATTAGGAGGGAAACATAAAATTTTCAATTTTGCCATAGCAGGTTCAGAAATTATTAAAAAATACCAAATATTTTTTTTCTTTGTTTACGTATGTACATGCCAAATTACCAATGACAAGTATGCAAAATTACAAATTCAGGAATTTATTTAAATTTTTAAAACAATTCTAGATATGACTGTAATTCTCTTTGGGTTGATTTTGGTTTGTAAAATATAATTTTTAGTTGTTAAAGAATCTTTGTTTTTTGTAAATAAGTTGTGCTTAAATACCTAATAAATACCTAATGCTATCAATGACGGTATATTATGACTGCACATTCATATGCTTGGTCATTTAAACATTTTATCAATCAGTCATTACATTTTGATTTTAGACAAATTTGTTTTTATTACAAAATATCCTGTTTATTTCCAATAAAAATTAAAATTCTTTATCTCGATTACAATCACTCGCATTATTCGATAATCGATAATAAAAAAAAAAAATTGAATAAAACCAAGGAACCAAGGTTTGTAAGGAAACGCATTTTATTTTAACAATTTATGGGTCAAAAAAGAGAAAACTATTTTACCCTTTAAACTGAAATACATTTTAGCTTGGTTTGCATGAAGTCAAATAATATCATGAAAAATTATCTATTGGATAACAATGTGCTTTAACATATTCTTATCTTATAGTTGACCGTGAAAACAACGCATGTTTAGGCTTACGTTCGTGAGGTTTCGTGGGAATTTAATTATGAAATAAAAAGTTCCTGTTTTACTGAAATAAAAAGGATTATATTTTCTGAAAAATAAGGTAAATTTATGCATATAAAATCATTATTGTGTTAAGATATGAATAGGTATGTACGAATTTAATCCTATTTATTATATACATTTTTTATTGAGCGTATTAAAATCTTTAGGGTCTGATAAAAGTCTTATTGAGCGTATATAATCTGTTCAAGAAGTAAAAATTTTTAATGTACAAAATTTATTATCTGCCAATTACTTATGTATGTATGTAAAACAAATTTAAATTTTAATTAATCTGTAATTAAAATAGGAAAAGTTAAATAAAATGCCTGACATAAAGTAATTTTTTCCAAGTTGATCTTTTGATATGGTAATGCATATATGTATGTATGTACATAAGTATTTATAATAATTTCTGAAAAGGAAAAAGAAAAATCGTAAATTTATTGTTACTCATTATAAAAACGATTTGGAGATAAATAAATTTATTGTAATTTTTTTAACTTCCTTGTACATATGTTTAATATTTTACATTACACTTATTTTTCTTTGTATTTCCGATAAAAAACAAATTGTAAAATGGAATGATTAACAAAACAATAAACAAAATTCCGTGTAGTGTATGGAAAAAATTGTGTAGCATCTGAAAGCCTAGAAGTGCACTTGAGCTGGTTTTAATTTGCTTTTCTTTAATGATTCTTTGCTACAGTTTCATGCTTTGAAAGTCAAGAGTTTAAGGAGCAAATCCATTTATAAATGACATACTATCGAAAGTCGAGTAATTTGCATTGCAAGAAACAATATTTTTGGGGTATACACATAATATGTACATACATATTTGTAAGTATAAGAGTAAAAGTTAAGAAAATATTTTTAAAACGGTCAGATTTTAAGGCCATGTTATTCTATAGTCAAGGATAAAGATTATATTCCTTATATAGTGTCCCGTGAATATTAATATAATATTGAACACTCAGTACAAATAGGTATAATAAAAATAATGAACAAAACTTAAATATAATAAAAATAATTTGATATTATTCATTTTTCCAATTCTGTTATTTTAAGGTAAGCACTTTATACTTCAACATACATACATTATGTATATAGGTACGAACAATTATTATAATTTCGAATATAAAACATATAGGTAGTTCTCATTACAAATATGTATTGTAATTGAAATTCTTAAATAGGTATATGCATATGTATGTAAATTTAAAATAACCTACGTACATAATTTTAAATAAGTGGACCATTTTATTCGTTATATAAGGCGAAGATAAACATGAATTAAAAATTTTTTTTTTTGATTATTGGAATTTTTTTCTTATACATTATGTATGTAGGTTTTTATAGTAACAGAATTTCTATAATTATTAGCTATACTAAGTAATTGTATAAATAGTTGTTTAAAAATTTGTAGTCGAATTCTGGATGCTTTATTCTTTCTCACTTACAATTCCATGGAAAGGGCACAAAGACTTTTCTTTCAAAATTATACATACATACATACATATGAATGAGTGCAAATACTTTTAATTTAATTTCTGTTAAATTTCATATTTATATAAATGTTAAAAAAAAGGATTTATACTTAAACACCATAACTGGCTTATATGACTATTGCTTTTCATATCTTAACAATTATATCTATATGTATATTCTATGAATAAAAGAAACATTTATATGCATATGAACATATGCATGTATGTATTGAAAATCGTAGCTAAAGAAATAATTGTTTTTAAAAATATTTTTTTTAATATTTTATAAAAATTAATATAATTTTATGCATCCGCGTGATATTGATAAAGAAGGTTACTGTCTATATGTAACCATTTAGTATAGAGAAGCTTTAATCATTTTTCCACTTTAATCAGATTAAGTCATGTGATATGTAATGTGCCTGAGTATAATATAAAAATTAAAAAAAAAAATCAATTTGCTTAAAAAATAATTTTTTTTTTAATTGTGGAATATCAGGGTTTTTAAAGTTTTGACTCCATTTTGAGAAATTATTGAAAATCAAAAGAAAAAATTATTATGGGGATTGTACGATTTGTATACTACACCTGAACTACCCCTGAAGCGCTGCTACCAGATCAAATAATATAACCTGATAGTTAATGTTTTGAAGAATAGAAAATTTTTAATAATTTCATATAATTTTTAAACTCTTAGAATATTTTTACAAGAACTTACTTGAAAAACATTTCATCCTGCATTTTTTCCAAATAGGAATTTTTATAAAATTTACTTGAATATAAGAACATGTAACTGTAAATTTACCGTAATTTTTGTTAATATTCAAGAAAACACTGTTAGCTTTACGCTTTTTAAAAATATAATTTAATTTAATTTAATTAAAAATAAGATCAACATATAATATTGTAATACATAACCTATCTGGAAATTACTGGAATAAATTAAAATAGGAAATTCTGATTTACTATGTACTTTACCTTAAATTTTACTAAATGAGGAAATATTAGAGATAATTTCTCTATAAAATTATGTCTATGATAAATATAAAATAGAATGGCAATCATTCATTTCAAAAATTATTTTACAAGTATGATATTATGTATATTTCTTTCTAGGTACCCACATATAGGTATACATATTTAGTTGCAAATATAATCTTATTTGCATGATGTGTGGCCCTTTTCGATTCTATATACTTTAGTATTTTATGCTGGGTTATTATTATATTTTGTTTTTGTAATTTTATGAAACAAATCTATTGTTATAATAAAATTAAAATCGTAATCACAAATATTTATTTAGTATCTCTAAAATATAATATAATTTAAAAAATACAAAATTTTGAATTTCTACAATGGAACACACCATTGATTTTAAAGAAAAATATGGAAAAAAATAATTTTAGTCTTATTGTTTGAAACGTTTGAGAAAAATCGAATATGTATGCATGTATGTATAGATTATAGATAAAAATAAATTTCGATTTTTAATTTCGATTAGCTTTAATTTTTAATTGTTTTTATTTATACAAAAAAGAATTGGAAAAATTTTATATTTAAAATAAAAAAAAAATTCAATTTTTACTGTCATACCAGAAGAAAAACCAAATGAAAAAAAAAATTATTTCGCGGAAAAACAAAAATGATTTTAAAAACAAAATGCATAAATAAAATGACAAACAAATCAATTTATGCAGAAATTATTTTTAAAAAACTTATTTTAAAAAATGATGGATGAATACACATTTGACTCATTTACATATTTATTTCCATAAATTTTCTCCTTCAAACTTTGTTGATTCTTCTTGTTTTTTTTTTTAATTTTTTATTTTACATCAGTATGTTTTCATAATTGAATTGAAATGAACCGGAGAAGGAAACGAGAAAGAGACCAAATATTATGCAGATGTATATACATATATATGTATGTATATGTATAAGAAGGAAGAATAATATTGTGATAACTTAAAACAGCCCAATGTCTCCCAACTTAAAATTTATTCGAATTTTGAATAAATTCAATCTACAGTGCAATTATATATTAAGTAGTTCTAAAGAAAAAATGTAACCTGCATGAATTAAATGAAATTGGGATTTTATTTTATCAATATCATTTAAAGAGCACATACATATACATCGTTCATCAACATTCATGTAGTTTTGATCAAAAATAACAAAATGTAATCATAGTTTAAAATGAGTAGGCTCTCTGCATTACTGAAAATAAGATAAGATACATATATACCTATAATTATTAAGGAACCATGCGATGAATAAAAGTATTAGCAAAATCGTAAGGAACTATATACAATTCTCTAAATATTCATGTCAACATATAATTAAATTTGGGGAGGATTTCGTTAATTCTATTAAAGCCTATTTAAATCAAATTAATTTTAATAATTTTTTTTATTTTTGAGTCTACTCGTCACTATTTCGAATATTAATTGAATAATGTTAAATTATACACCTTTGAAAACTAAAAATTTTAAATAATTTAATAAAAAACAAAAAAAAAGATTGATTTGTAAAGAAAAAACTTGTGTAATAATTTCTCAATTCAAATAACTGTTTATTCCTTACTGTAGTATCCATGTGTTTAATGTAAAAAATACTCAATTTACTCTGAAAATTTTCAAGTAAATCATTAAAATTTTATATTTATTGGAATTATACTTACTTTGTAATAATTTCTGAATGTTTTTACAAGATTTCAGTTCACTGTGGTAATTTAAACTGTATAATAAAGAATTACAATTACCGTTTATATTACAAATGTCACCAATGTTGTTATATGTTCATACATAAATATATATCTATAGAAAATAATCTATGTATATGATATTATTTACTTTAAATTCCAAAATT